TCGCTTTGCTCTGACCTGCACAGGATGAAGTCTGGCCCCAGTGAAGTCAACGGGAATTTTGTTCATAACTTTGACGGGACCAGAATTTCACTCACAGGTTTAATGGCCAGAAGGGACAATTATAATAATCTTTCCTGACCTTTTGCATAATACAAACCATAGATTTCAGTCAGCCTGTAGCCAACATCTTGTGGTTGAACTCGAACATATGTTTTGAAAGGCTTTTCAGGATAGACATACGCCAGACGTAGAGTGGTAGTAAAATCCCCTCTAGTGGTGTATGTTTGCATTGCAGGGTGAAGTTCTTACTCCCATGGAAGTCGACCACAAACTTCCCATTTGTAGGATTTTGCTACAGGTAGCTAACTTGCCCCATCACTTATATATGTAATTTATTATTTTTTTTTCTTATCTGTCAGTTGCATGCCTGTATGTGGGTTTAAGTGCTGGAAGGAACCTTAGTCACAGGATTTGGGGAGTCAGGCCACAGCAGTACTCAGAAAATCATCACAATTTGAGGAGAAGTCAGTAGAGATGCTCAAGCATCAGCTCCTACTTGGTTATCTTGGCTACTACGGTGTATCTCATAGGAAGAGGTAAGGACTTTGAACAAGAAAGCCACAAATCCTTTTTTAAGACAAATAAACTTGTCCTGCAACATATTCATCCTGGATGGCTAGTCATGCTCTGCACATACGGAATGCAGCTCCTACATTTTGGAAGCTTATGCCTGTAGGGTCATATTCTGGTTTTGGCCTTTTGATGCCACAGCTATTGATGGATTATACACTTGATCTAGTTCTGCTTCTATAATAGTCAGTATTCATACAAAATATTCCACTAGCGTCTTTCTAATAAGTGATTAAAACCACAAGTGGTTTTATGGGCTCTGGAGAAAGAATCTGGAAATTAATCTGTTTTAGCTATTCACAAAGTACCAATTATAGTAATTTCAAATATTGATGATTCTATATCCTGAGAACTGATTAGATATGTAAAAAATTCATCCCCCCCAGGAAAGCTGCAGAAAATAAAATGAGAGCTAGATCATTGTCAAAAGGTGTCACAGGCAATGCAAATTACAGTCAAATTATTCCTGTTTCTAGTAGAGATCAGGTGCAAATAACGGAGTCGTTTCTCCAAAGCACGCTCTATGCAGAGCTCCAGTTCCCATTACGGTACCAGAAGCCTGCAAGCAGTTTTTGTTGTAAGAATTAAATCTGTGCACATCTGGAATCTGAACGTCTGTTAAAAATCTCTGGGTCAGGGACAGTAATCTGGTCATACAGTATATTCTGCAAATGTTGACGAATCGCAGCCAAATTTCCATGCCTCTAAGCAGCGTATCAGACTAACAAATAATAACAGCAGCCAGGTGCTGAAAGTCAATGCTGAACCTGAAATCAGAGCCCGGCCTGAATTATTTATTGAAATTCCATGACTTTATTTGCACTATTAGAAGAGTCACTTGCAGGCACTGCAAATAAAGGTCTGAATAGGGGGTGTCACCAGTGAGGGCCTCTTCCACCGCATCAGCTGACCCCAGCGCAGGCCATACTCTGTCCTCCATGGCCTCAGTTTGTATCTTGTTTAACATCGTGCAAATACTGTCCATCGGTGACTTGTATTGATTTAAGATGAAAGAGCAATCAGCAGCTCTCGGGAGG